TAAAAGCTTTATAATTTATCCAAAGTTTTGCAGCAAACACAACCAAAGCCACAAAATAAAAATTATTGTCTCATTGTATTTAGAGTAAAAATGTCTTCAATGAATTGCTCTGACCTATCAAGAACTAGTAGTTACGAGAGAAAACTTCGCTATAGAGAATTACTTGAAGATTTATCAACCATAGGTGAAAACAGTATTTTACTGAACTATAATTGCAGTATTTTATGTGTTTAAAAATTGACCTCTACAGGTTTCAGTTTATCGTTGTACTTGAAAATAATACCACTGTACCATATTATTAAATTACCAAATTATTAAATTTTTCAGAGGATGATGCAGACAATGTACGACAAATGGAGAGAACAGCAGAGGTGGTCAGCGAGGCGCATAATCTTTTGGCTACCGGAGGCATTGAGGAGCGTGCCAAGCATCCTGGTATTAATAATAAACTCTGTCAGAACTGAATTTAAAAAAATAAGCCTATGTGTTCTTCCAGATTATGTGCTACATTTATGCCAAATTAAATATGTGTATGTCTACACAGGGAATTAACATTTTATTCCAGTTAAATATGTCTAAAAAAAATCTGAGATACCCAGTATTTAAAGGTATAGTGGAAGGAAACTACATTTTTTTGGACATACTGAAGATTTTAACTTAACAAGTTTTGATTTATTCCACTGTATGTATAATTTCCAGGTGAGAACTATTTAGATTCCCGTGTGCTGTGTGCCAGTAGTGACCATGCATTGCGCTGCTCTGAAGCTGTGAGTGGGAACATGAACACATATGACAAACACCAGTTGGCACAACATATTGTAAGTTTGATTATCTTTTTTTTTTATAACAGAAGGGGTCAAACAAACAGCGGGAACACCGAGGTGTTCAATGACGCCCTTTGTATAGAATAGTGTGTTTAGTTAACCATCTGTTGATGCAAAGTAAAATTTATTTCTTGTATATTATTGTATATACTACCGTAGGTTTCCGAGACCTAAATTCCCTTTAAAACTTGCTATCTCTGTTTTATCAAAGATAATGACATGGATGACAATATGTTTTATACAGAGATTTTGACCTCAGAAAACAATGGTTAAGTAGACAAACAATATTAAAATTTGTTTTTATATTACTAGTTTTTTTTTTAAATTCTGTGAATGCGGTCAACTGCTATTGCTTCACAAAGGCTATACTTTATTTTAAATATTTCCAGCGAGAGAATCCAGAGTTCTGGGAGTTCACATTTCCAAGAGAAGTACCAGTAGTAGCATCATTATTTGGTACCTTCGCACCTACTCCAGCAGAGCAGCGACCGCGTGCGCCACGCAGACGAGTTGAGCGGCAGCAAGCAGCTGCACTTAAGGCACCCGAGACTGTTGACAAGTTTGTATACAGATAAATATGACCTCTGATCTGTCTTAAATCGTTATGAAATGAGCATCGCAAGCTCAGGGGTTAACCACATGACTTGTAATCTGCAGCTCTGGAATCCCACCATGTACTAATGTGTTTTCCGATTTACATATGTAGTGTTTATCCAATGTTCTTACAGTGGAGGAAAATAGAAAAAGAAAGAGAAGACATTCAAACATATGTGAAAACAAGCCGCACTGGGTCAGCATTGACCATGGCCTAGTCACCTAACTTAGAATAGGCTCCGAGTTGTTGTTGATGGGATGTTTAGTGAGCCGATGATGACATATCTCCGCAAACCCGCGTTTGTTCCGGGCAGTCTCTGGAACTGTTGGTCCGATTTTGATGAAACTTTGATAGGAAGGTAGCTGGTGAATGATATTAAAGCCTAGTTTTTCAACGCTAACGAAGTCGCAGGCGACTATTAGTATATTAAATTTCTATATAGATTGGATCGCACTGAAGAGGGCAGTGAGATGGTGGGTAGGGCGCAACGCTTTGTCAGCAAGGCGTGTCGAGCAGCACCGCTGTGCTACTGGCGCGCAGTACTCGACCCGCAAAGCTTCGCCCGCACCATAGAGAACATATACTATGTCTCTTTCCTAGCTAGAGACGGCATTATAAGCATTGATATAGGTGAGTTGACATTTTTAAATAATAGCTGTCGCCCGCGACTTTGTCTTAATTTGTGTAGTCTATGTGTTCTTCCAGAATATGTTCTATATGTATGACAAATTTTATCAAGATCCGATTAGCCACTCTGGAGATACCTTCAAACAAACGTCCATCCATCCATACATTCGTATTTATAATATTAGTAAGATTAGATATATATGGATGTATGTATAGACGAGGAGTTGGGTCTTCCGTTCATAAAGACTGTGTCTGCGGGGGAACGTGAGCGCGGCGCGGGTGCAGCCAATCAGTTCATTGTCTCCATTGATATGAAAACATGGAAGGTAAATTGTAATTTTTCAATCTGGTAACACTTCTATAGTTGTCACTTTTTGTCTCAAAGATAATGTAAGGGATAGCAATATGTTTCAATGACCGGTGAAATACCACGACCACACAGAAGACAGTCGTCAAATGGATGCTATTCCAAGTACAGTCTGATGAATGTTTGCCCTGGAGGCCTAATTTAGACCTTTTTCCCTTCCCATCCTTTTTCTTACAAGGACAGGATGGGAAGTGGAAGTGGACTTTCCGGATGAGAGTATGCATGGAAAGGGAAGATATTTTCATTCTGTGCATCCTCTCCTCTGTTGATTAAAGGTAGGCAACGCATATGCAATTGCGTATGTCTATGGGCCGCTCGCTCGTTTGCCACCTTATGATATAAAAATTACATTCTCATCTATATTGCCTAGTCCTGATTACCTTCCATAAGCGAGAAACTCGGGTTAGAGAGAAATTTCTATATTTCAAAAAGAAAAAAAAGCGAGAAATATATCTTTGACTCTTGCTTATCCAAGTTCGATAGTTGTGTCGTACTCAGAGTTAATTTGTTTAAAGGAATTATAAGTAGAGATTTATGGATTAATTTAAATTAAGTATGGTTGTAGAAGTATTAATAGATTTTTTTCTTTAGGAGCTGGTGGACGCGTTCAGAATCGAGAAGCCAATGATGGTGCTAAAGGGTCGTTGATAATATTGTATTTATTTTGTTTTATATATAAGGAAATATATGTTTTTTTTTTTAAATATAATATGAATTATAAAACATTTACTCTCATTTGTGTATTCCAAAATCTTACGTCAGTTTTTTGACATTGACAACTTACAAGTTTTTAGGGTTACCAGTGAACAAAAATTTCCGAATTTCTTTTAAAAAAATTATCTTGCAACTTATATTGTTATCGATCAATAAAGTTAGCAATACACGGAGGGTTTACGGCAAAAATTATGAAATCGTGCCAACTAGGAGTCCGTGTATGTCGTTTTTATATATTTAATAGCTGTCGCCCGCGACTCCATTCAAGCTTAATTAACAAAAATAAAATTATTTTTTACTCTATGTGTCCTTACAGACTATGTTCTACATCTATGTCAAATTTCATCAAGATTTTTTTTTAATAAAAATATTAGCAGATTTTTTTGTAAATTTACTAATATTTCTTTAACCAAACTAAGCTCTAGGCTTGTGCTAAGATATGGTTTACGACAATAGTCCAATGGAGGGATTCGAACCCCCGACTTCGTGATCGGAAATCCGTACCCTTAACCATTAGGCTATTGACGCTTTTGAAGATCCATGCAGTCGTTCTGGAGATACCTTCAAACATACATCTAAACATTCGCATTTATAATATTAGTAAGATTAAAATAAATAAATAAAATGATATGGCTCAAAACATTTATTAACATCACTCATATATTCATGTCTGTTATATAAATTAACAATTTATTATACAAATATCTAACTATCTTAAAGAAAATAAGGTACATAGGTTTATAATACGAGAAACATTTTAAATACGAACATTATATAATTTAAATTTTAACACGTTGAGCGCCACGCGTATTTCTAAGACAATCCCGTTCAAGCCACGAGCGCTGCTTATACGCACTGGTAAAAGGGCCGGTGTTATCGATCGCAGTACAAAATAGTTTAAATTTTTAACGCAAAATAGTGTTAAATTTTATAGTTTTCATGTTACACGCTGTCAGCCACTGATGGCTGATGCGGCGCTCAACGTGTTAATAACTTTTTGTAATAAACATGAGCTCTTTGCTTCGGTGGCGTAGTGGTTAAAGCACTGGTCTGCAGGTCCTGGGTTCGAATCCTGCCATATACTAATGTATTTTTAGATTTACATACATTTATCTGACGTTACGGTGAAGTAAAACATCGTGATGCTGCACATATCTGTGAAGAAATTCAAATGTGTGAAGTCACTGAGTCAGCATTGACTATGACCTAGTTAACTTAGGGTAGACTCTGAGTTCAGTGGGGATGTAAATCGAGCTGATGATGAATCTTTGAAATTATTAAGATATAGTACAAGTTTGTCTGGCCCGGTAAGATGGTGCTGCTGTTCTGTCACATCTGTCTAAAAAAGTATTTTTTATATTAAATAAGCTATCACATCACATCATCAGCTCACTATACGTCCCCACCGAGGAGCTCGGAGCCTACCCTAAGTTAGGTGACTAGGCCATAGTCAACCACGCTGACCAAGTGTGGGTTGGTCGACTTCACATATATATTTGAATTTCTTCTCAGATATGTGCAGCATCAAGATGTTTTCCTTCACCGTAAGAACGTCAGATAAATGTACATATTTAAATCGGAAATCCAAAACAAATTGGTACATGTCGGGATTCAAACCCTGGACCTGCAGATTGCAAGTCAAGTGCTTGACTCCTGAGTCACCGAATCTCTTAATAATAAGCTATCGCTTGACCACAATTCCACCTGATGATAAGTGATGAAGGCTCTTATTTCATACTTTTAAAGAAAACCTGACCATAATATAAAGATCTTTTGACAATTTTTTAATATTGACTGGGGGGCGCTAGTGTGCTTTGACTTATACAGGGTCAGTAAAGTTTGTCGGTCTGTATGTTTTTTTATATTTGTTTCAACAGTATATTCATCATCAGCTCACTATACGTCCCCACTGAGGGGCTCGGAGCCTACCCTAAGTTAAGGGTGATTAGGTCATAGGCTTAGTATATAAATATGCATAATTTATTGACATTTTTATTTTATTTTTCTATCTATATATAATAGAGTTTAATATGTCTAATTTTCTATGAAAATATGAACCAAATGTAAATGATGTCCTTTAATTTACATTATTTTGTTGAATATTTGGAATAAGTTAATTATTGTTTTTTTTTTATTTATAACTTTATATTTTTTTTAACATAAAAATACTGATACACCATCTTATTATATTGGAGTGGACAGACGCATATATTTTTTTTTTAGTTTTTGTTCTAAAAATTAAAATAATTTTACACAAATAAACAAAGATAATTTAAATTAAATATAGGAAGAGAGCTATCAACATAATATTTACAAGAACATAGCACAAAACATATAGATATTTGTATTATATAGCTATCTCTTTCATTCTGTTAGATTAGAAAGGGACGACATATATGAGAATGCATTAAGCCTACAATCAGTGGTCTGTCTGTTTCTCAGCTTTTAACCTCGCGATCTCCTCGCCCAGTGTGTCTATGTTTTCCTGGAATCAAAAATTAATCTTACTAATATTATAAATGCAAATGTTTGGTTGTATGGATTGATGCTTGTTTCAAGGTTTTTTTTATATAATATATCATAAGATGGCAAACGAGAGAGCCACCTGAAATCGCTGAAATAGCAAAGTGACAGCCCATAGACATACGCACGACGGAGACGGAGGAGAGGATGCACAGAAAGAAAATATTTTCCCTTTCCATGCTCTCATCCAGAAAGTCCACTTACACTTCTCATCCTTTCCTTATAAGAAAAAGGGTGGTGTAGTGTATGCATAAACGTAGTGTGGTTTGTCTCGAGCGTACACGCCATAAGTACAAGCCGGAGAGACGGGACGTCAGTCGATATCAGACCTTTGAGCCGGCAACACGTGTCACTACGTGAACGAGCCAAATATAGCGCAACGAATGCTACAGGTGGGAAGGGAAAGAGGACTAAATTAGGCCTCCGGGACGCACACTCATCAGACTGTATTTGGAATAGCTTCCACTTGACGCCTGTCTTTTGTGTGGTCGTGGTATTTCACCGGACGAGCCGGGACAATTCCTGCGAACATGTTAAAGCTCGCTCTACCACTGTTCAATTTGTCATAGATGTAGAACATAGTCTGGAATAACACATAGGTTACTAACAGATCTCGCGCGAACGAGGTCGCGGACGACAGCTAAAGTTGGTATGAATGGATTCATTTGCATTTATTAAATTGTAAAATTCTTTGTATATAACGATATTTATCGTGGGTTTCTGATGACAGGGATGACGATATGTTCAATCCAGAGATGGGCTTAGGAACCAACCTAATACTGAAAATGATGTCTGTCATTCTTTCTCTTTCACTCATATTACTATCACATCGCTATGACTCATATATCTATCTCAGTCCCTCTCATTATAATTATATCGCTCCATCTCTTTCCTGTGACCTTGATCCTGTATAATCTTTGTCATCTCGTTCACTCTTATTACAATCATATCGCTCCATCTCTGTCATACCTTGAGGGTAATGTTCTTGAGCAGTGTATCTTCAAGCAGCGCCTGCAGACGACGGTTCATCTCGAGGGAGAGCTGTGGCGTGAGACCTGCAGGATCACCTCCCCATAGGGCCGCCATTGCCCCACCACCCAACATCGCTATTTCCTTCTGTATAATCAAATTAAATAGACATTATTAAGAATTAAAAAAAGAAAAAAGTATCCTATAACATGCCCGCATCCATCAGCTACCTTCCAGTCAAATTGTCGTCAAAATCTATCCACCCGTTTCTCAGATTCCACGTAACAAAGCCTTGAGGACAGACATACAGACAAAAATTTTAGATAATTCTAAAATTGTAATATAATATATTTTCTCACGTAATTAAATTTATAACATTAGCTACAATTATTATAAATATATCTCATAAAAAGTGATATATAATGGACGGCCATGTCGTATAAAACGAGCAAAAAACAAATTTACCTTTGTTAACCTCCTTTGCGGCTAGCAGCAGTAATAGATAAAACATGTTTATTAGCTCCTATTGAAATGATTCTAGCTGCAAGCATTTGGTACAAAAACGAATGCAAGATGGAAGAAGAATGCAAGTTGAAATGAATTTGTACATTGAGAAATCTATCTCGTGTATGTGTCCCCCTTCCCCCCTTACACATGTATGTGTGCCTTCCCCTAATGCACGTGAGCATTCCACCAATGTACATATCCCTTTCCCCAATATACATGTCCCTTCCAAAAATGTACATATCCCTTCTCCCAATGTACATGTCCCTTCCAAAAATGTACACGTCCCTTCTCCAAATGTACATGTCCCTTCCCCCAATGTACATATCCCTTCCACCAATATTCATGTATACCTTGTTGGTGTCACTAGCACTGTTGGCGACAGCTCCAGCAGGCTGAGCAGCCAGCAGATGTCGCAGCAGACGCGCTTTACCGCGCAGCTCAGCTGTGAGCTGACGCGCGTGCTCCTCCAGGAACTCGCAGCGCTCTGCTCGCCTCGCGGCCGCGCGCTGCAGTGATACTATGCGCTCTATCAGAGCTTGACGTTCCGGTTCACGTGTCTAACAGTATACAATATTTTCAATATTACAGAAGTTTTTTTTTTGTATTATGTTGGTTAAAAATTATATCTACGTTTTAAAAAATATATTGGAAAATCTATATTTATTGATGATTTTGTCAATCTTACTGATATTAATGCGAATGTTTAGATGGATGTTTGAAAGTTCCTCCAGAACTGATCTTGAAGAAATTTGTCTTAGATATAGAACATAGTCTGGAAGAACACATAGGCTATTAGTTTTTTTTTAATTCCACGCGGACAGAGTCGCGGTTGATAGCTAGTCTATGAAATATATTACTCAATTTACATAAATAAAAATATATTTATAATAAATATCTAACATACACAATATTATACATATTTTTAACTACAAGACAATTTTAAGTCGAACCTTAACGAATAGCTTTTCAAAAAGACTTGGATATTTTATCTGTGAAACAAAATTATAAATACCTATTTAGATTTTTTTTTAATTTTTTTCACAGGAACTAAATTAAAATCTAGATAATAGTACAAACAGACCTGTACATCAGGGAGTGACTCTGGTAAGCCATTTTGGGCGCGTTCTTCGCTTTGTGCACCTTCGCCACTACTCAAAGACGTTACAGAACCTGAAATATAGTTAATTAACTTTAAAAAAAAGGGTTATTTTATTCCAATTTCCCATCAATTATTATTATAAGGAAGGGTAGGTGAATTTGGAAGAGGAGTGGACATATAGGAAGAAGAAATATCTCTTGATTACAGGTAGGCAATATATCTACAAATGCGGAAGCTTATAGGCAACATTCAATTCGCTATTTTGGCGAATTCATTTGTTAACATCTTTATATATAATTGTTCTGTGCGTGTGTATGTCACTGAACTTCTCTCAAACGACTGGAGCGATTTTGATGAAATTTTTTGTGTGTGTTCAAGGGGATCTGGGAATGGTTTAGATTCACAATTTTCATCAAATATTAACTTCATATTAATTTATTCAAATTAAAGACGTGTAGAGAGGACAACGTCTGTCGGGTCCGCTAGTTTTTAATATAAAAAAATATGCATATATGTAGGAAATATAATAAATAGCCAATTTAAATTACAATGTAAACTAAGGATTTCAAACAACAATATAACTCACACCCGTAACCCATAGGGGTAGGTAGAGACACAGTTACTAAGGATTTTTTTTTATTATAAATGGATGAAAGACCGAATGATTAACTTTTTTTTTAATATAAAATATTAGCAGATTTTTTTTTGTATATTTACTAATATTTCTTTAACCATTCCAACTAAGCTCTAGGCTTGTGCTAGGATATGGTTTACGACAATAGTCGAATGTCGGGATTCGAACCCGCGACCTCATGGTCGGAAATCCGTACCCTTATCCATTAGGCTATTGACGCTCAAAACTAATCTAAATCAATTAACTTTTTATATATTAAATGGATGAACACAAATTGAATGATAATCTAATGAATGAACAATACACGTACCAGTTCTATTAGAAGCAGCATCGTTCTGTAATCTGGCTTCAAGTTGCTCGCTACGTTTCAAAGCTCTTTGCAGTTCGCGATTCAATTCCTAGACATTAACCTTTTATAATATACGGAACAAATAAATCTAATAATATAGTTATATTGTTTCAGTTTTAATAGTGATAGAGCGAGCTTTAACATGTTCGCATGAATCGGCCCGGTTCGTCCGGTGAAATACCACGACCACACAGAAGACACGCCTCAAGTGGAAGCTATTCCGCGTTTCGTCCGATGAGTGTGCGTCCCGGAGGCCTTATATATCCTCTCCCCCTTCCCATCCTTTTTCTTATAAGGAAAGGATGGGAAGTGAAAGTGGACTTTCCGGATGAGAGGATGCATGGAAAGGGAAAATATTGTCTCTCTGTGCATCCTCTCCTCCGTCGATGAAATGTAGGCAACGCATATGCAATTGTGTATGTCTATGGGCAACGGTCACTTCGCTATTTCAGCGATTTCAGGTGGCCGCTCGCTCGTTTGCCATCTTATGATATAAAAAAAAAGTTTAATAACTGTCGGATTATATATCGTTAGTTTGTAAAGTGATTTAAATGTAAACAGTGGGTTTCTGAGATCATAATCTTTGTTCAAAATATAGTTCTGTTTTGTCAAAGATGACAGAGATTTTGGTTTTCTAAAGTAACGGTTAGTCAGTTTGTAAATTTACTTAACGATGTTGTATATTACCTTTATGGCACTGGAATTTTTTTTCTTTAACACGCTATTCTCTCCTTTCTCCCACTCAAGTCTCTTGCTTACTTCAGCAACTTCCTCCGTCAACTCTGCTACCTAAATGCATTTTTTTGCCATTATATTAAACTAGCTGTCGCTCGCGACGCCGTCCGCGTGGAAATAAAAAAAAACATAACAAATAATCAATGTGTTATTCCAGACTATGTTCTATGCTAAATTTCATCGAAATCCGTTCAGCCGTTCTGGAGATACCTTCAAACAAACATCCATCCATCTAAACTTTCGCATTTATAATATTAGTAAGTAGTTTTTTTTTAAGAAAAGACTGTCTGTCCCGGTGAGAAACGTTGCTATTGGGATTAGCTCTATCAGAAAATTTGTAAGAACAATATCGGCATAGAAAATTACATCAAGACATGACATTTACAGTACAAGGACCGTATGACACTTTTTAAATCTGGTGGCCGCTACTCAGCTGTCATATTTTAGTTTGACTTGTGTCCGGGTCAGATGACCTTGACGATCGATTGACATAGAAATACAGACAAGAGAGTAACAGTATGACTAGAATCTTGTGATATTGACAGGACGGCGTTCATGAGCTATTATAATTTACTGTCATATACACTGGGTCAGATGACCTTGCCGGTCTATAGACAGAATTATAGACGAAAAATAACAAGACATCTACAGTATTACAATGATCGTGCGAAACTTTTGATATCGAAAGGAAGGCGTTTATGACCCTAAATAATTTAGTGTCATTTATACACTGGGTCAAATGACCTTGACGGTCTATTGACATAGAATTACAGACAAGACAGCTACAGTATTACAAGGATCTGTAACATTTTTGATATTGTGAGGGGGGCTAGTGAGCTATTATATTTTAGTATTATATCCACGGGGTCAAATGACCTATCTAACAGTGGTAGAGCAAGCTTTAACATTTTCATAGGAATTGTCCCGGCTCGCCCGGTGAAATACCACGACCACACAGAAGACAGACGTGAAGTGGAAGCAATTCCGCGTTTCGTCTGATGAGTGTGCGTCCACCAGGCCTAATTTAGTCCTCTTTCCCTTTCCACCCTTTTCTTTATAAGGAAAGAATGGGAAGTGGAAGTGGACTTTCCGGATGAGAGGATGCAAGGAAAGGGAAGATATTTTCTTTCTTTGCATCATCTCCTCCGTTGATTAAAGGTAGACAACGCATATGCGATTGCGTATGTCTATGGGCAGCGGTCACTTCGCTATTTCAGCGACTTAGGGTGGCCGCTCGCTCGTTTGCCACCTTATCATATAAAAAAACCTTGTTTATAATTTCTGCGCAGTTTAACCCACCTTTCTCGCCAGCACTCTGTTCTCCCGCTGTCTTCTCTCTTCCTCCTCAGCTAATGCACTGCGAAGTTTCTCTGCCTCCGCTTCTAAAGCTTCAGCGCGTTCGCGTAATGACACGTTGTCAGCGGATAGTGCTTGCGCCTGAAATGATATATGTAATTTGTAGCTTATTTCTGTATAAAGTAACATAGGGAAGTGATCAAAGCGGGGAAAAGAGTTGGGAGAAGGGACTTAGCTGGAAGAAGTGACTTGATTGGGGAAAGTGACTTAGTTAGGGAAAGTGATTTAATTGGGGGAATTGACTTTGGAGGGCAGAAAGTGACTTAAGTAGCGAAAAGTGAATTGAGTGGGGGAAGTAACTTAGGTGGGAGGAGTGACTTGGGTAAGGGCATAGTGAACTAAACTCGGAAAGTTATTTAGGTAGAAGGGAGTAATATAAGAGGGTGGAGTTTGTCTTAAGAAGCGTTTCAGAGAGCGCCATAACAGTAAGAATTGGTTCACCTTTGCCTCGTGCTCGGAGGTGCGCGCGCGTTGCGCGACGTGCTGCGCGGTGAGACGTGCGGCGTGCTCGAGTGCGGCGGCCTCGCGTCGCGCGCACGTCTCCGCGCGTGCTCGTTCACGACTTAACGCCTCTTCGGCTTGTGATGCGCGTTCTGTCTCCCTGAAAAAAAAAACAACACAATGAATTAAATGTCATTATGTATTTAGTAAAAATCACCGTCCAATGATTAAATTGCAAATCATTTTTTTTTAATGTTGTTTCAAGAAGAAAAAGCAAAGTAGCTTTGAAATGACACAACATCTCCTGGAACAGAGGCCCCTAGTTATTGTAGATTTCTTGTAACACATCTGTAAATTCAGGTATACTTCTGTTCAAATATCTTGTGAGCTCAAGGTCATGCGCAGCGTTCCGAGCATATAAGATATTTGAAAATGTCTATACCTCTGCAGCTGTGAGCTGAGTGTGTCAGCAAGCGCGGCCTGCGCCCTCAGCGCAGCAAGCTCAGCGGCTTCCTGCTCCAGACGTGCATTATGTTCTCGCAGACGATCCACCTAAACAAGAGATGTTGATTTTAGCATCCCAATGTTAATGAATCAAAAACATTATGCAATAACCTTTATGTGACGTCACGGCTATTAAGTATATATATAAGAAAGTCGTGTTAGTTACACTATTTATAACTCAAGAACGGCTTTACCGATATGCCTGAAAATTAGTGAGGAGGTAGCTTAGAGTCAGGAGACGGACATAGGAATATTTATTCTTTTTTTCATGCGAATTCATGCCTTGAAGAGCTCCTTTTTATTTAACTTACTAATATTATAAATGCGAATGTTTAGATGGATGTGATGTGGATGGATGGATGTTTGAAGATATATCTACATCGGCTGAACGGATCTCGATTAAATTTGGCATATATATAAAACATAGTCTGAAAGAACTCATAGGCTATACTAATTGAGTTTTTTTATATATCCACGCGGACGGAGTCGCGGGCGACAGCTAGTTTTTAATACTAATTACACTATGAATTATTACGACTGAATATTAGTGAACATCTTCAATGTCATTATAAGCGATATTCTCGAAGATAAAGCGCTCACTTCATCAGTAGCGACAGAGAGAGATGCAGTCGCGTCGTCTCTTTCCCTCTTACACGTGTCTAATTGCTGTACGACTGAAGTCAGCTTCCTCTCCAGTTCATCTCTCTCATGTCGGCACAGTATTAACGCGGCCTGACTCTCCTTTAGTTCACTTTCTGAAATTTAAAAAAAAATATTCGTTAACTTTCGTTAACACCTCCAGAGGCACAGACCTAAATGTATTGTTAGATTTTTTTTTTGTTTTCTTTTCTTGGTTTGTTCATATATATATCATTTTTTTATGTGTTTTATACTTGTTTGTTTTGTATGAATGTTGTATAGCTGTTATTGGATAAATTATCAGTTTTATTGTGTTGTACATTGTATTACTTTGGTCAATGTTGCATAATTTATCTGTTGTGTGTACTTTTCTAATAAATAAATAAATAAACTTTAAATGATTATTTTGAATAAAATTTCAACACACCTCGTTATTAGTCTAAAATATAGATTTACAAATTATCTTCAACAGTATACAGTCTAGTCAAATTATAAAATGATTGAATTCATAATCGATTTGTAACATGCAATAAAAAGCTGATTTTACAGTTGAATTTAAATGAAAAAAAAAATCTTTCAAATGTGTCGTCGGCTCTAAACATCGGAGGTCGCTGCGTAGACCACTATGTATAGCGTACATGATCTTGAGCTGACAAGATATTTGAAAAGAAGTATACCTAATACTTTAGCTCTGGCGGAGTCTGTAGCGCCGGCTGCAGCAGCTTCCTTAGCCGCTTCTAGCTCCGTCACTTGCTGAGATAATTTCTCTGCGCGCTCCGAACTTTCCTTTTAATACAAAATATTTTTTTTAAGAGGTAGGAAGGTTTCGCCGAAATAGCGAACCGCTACCCATAGACATCCGCATTTGGACATACGTTATTTACGATACTTAACTTGTACACAGTTCTATATGTTATATTGTTATTATATACTACCTTATAAGCATCCATTTCCATACGCAGTTTGCTTTGTGTCCATTTTAATCTGCCTTCCAATTCTTTTACATCTTCACGTAATTTCGCCGTCTCTCGTTCACTATTTTGTAGTTCATGGCACTGGAAAGATAAAAATATATTTGGCCAACGGTCTAAGAGGTACCTTAAGTTAGGTGACCAGGCCGTAGTCAACCATGATGACCTAATGCGACTTGACTTCACACATATCTTTAAATTTCTTTTCCGATATTATGACTATATCATTATCAGCTCACTATACATCCCCACTGAACTCAGAGCCTACCCTAAGTTAGGTGACTAGGTCATATTCAATTCTGGCCTAGTGTCTGACTTCATACATATATTTAAATTTCTTCACAGATATGTGCAGCATCACAATGTATTTAATCACCATAAGAACAACAAATAAATATACATATGAAAAAACACATTGGTACATGGCGAGGTTCGAACCCAGGACCTGCAGACAAGTGCTTAACCACTAATCCACTGACACTACAAACAGAATTATTTCGTTTGTTATTCCTCATACCTTATCATCATACAACTGACATATCCTTTGCTTCTCAGAATGTGCACTCTTCAATTTGCCAGCAAGCAGTTCACATTCAGTCACCGCTGCTTGCTGTGCGCGTTTAGCTGCTTCGGCTGCACGACGACCCTCAATGGCCGCGCACTCGGCTCCCGCGTATCTCATCACAGCAGCATCCGCATCCCGCTGTGCCTGCTCCACTTTTTTACCCATCTGGAAATTATATCAATTAACTTTAACTATACTAACACTAGCTGTCGCCAGAGATTTCTTCCGTACAATGTGTTCTGCCAGACTATGTTCTATATGTACAGTCAGCGTCATATAGATCGTCACAGACAAGATATGCAAATATATAGGTACACCAAAAGTAATCAATTATATCGGTACAACAAAAGTCCTCAAAATAATAGATACATTCACCCTGCTCAAAAACATCGGTACATACACAGCGTCAAATATATGAGTACAGTCAGCGTCATATAGATCGTCACAGACAAGATATGCAAATATATAGGTACGCCAAAAGTAATCAATTATATCGGTACAGCAAAAGTCCTCAAAATAATAGATACATTCACCCTGCTCAAATACATCGGTACATACACAGCGTCAAATATATGAGTACATGCAAGGTGCCCATAAATATCGTAGCAGCCACAGCGTCATAAATAACGAAGCAGTCAAGGTGTGCAAAAATATTGTAACATTTGACAAAATTGAACTCTATCTCTATATACTTGTGATACAATTTGGAATAAACTACTTCTGTTACATTCATTTGACACTTTGTATTAGCATTATAGGTTGTCCGGAAAGTTCGTTCCGATTTTCGATAGGAAGCTTAAAATAGACTGTAGCTGAAGTGGATTCATTTTCGGATTTCCACCATTATCAAACGTCACAAAAATTTCTATATTGTAAATAATTTCATTTCATTGGTTGAGATAAAAACTAATTTTTAAAATTTTATCCAATAATAAAAGACGTTTTAGGTATAGAGTCGTACCGATATAAGTTAAAAACATTTCCAAAAATTTAAGAGAATAACAGGGTTTCAATTTTCCTTATAAAGCGGCATGAACTTACTGGGCAACCCAATATTTTTCTTCTCCTGTCATAACGCTTAAATATAAAAGTTTGTCACGCCGAATATGACAGATACGTAATAACTAATATCAAATTTTGCCTTGTCACAATATATACTAGTTTGGCGCAGTATTCTAGTATGTTTGCCGTAATATGTAAGTTTACCGGTTCGAATCTCAGGCTACTTTTTTATCATTTTATCAATCACGGGGTTATTTTTTCATAACCAGTAAAAATTTGTTAATGTAAAATTTTGCTCGACAATTTTTTTTTATAATTTTCGCTGTTGGGTAGAAAGAAATTTAAATAAAGTTAACAACAATTAGGTCAGACCATCGCGGGTGAAGTGAGTGGGCGAAGCGTGGATTGTCTTTTCGGGTTTTAAGAATGGTACGCGCGGAAACTATACGTACAAGTGTTATCTACATATGTGTGCGCGCCCACGCACACTGGAATGTTTATTGCAATCGACCAAAAATTTGATGTAGTTTGGATATTGACATTCAGTTTTTTTTTCTTTGTTTCTTAAATATAATCAGTATCAGTAAAAGGTAAAAGTAAAAGTGTTATTTTTACCGGTACAAGTTTAACAAACATGAGTAATAAACGAATTACATGCCAATAGCATCGCTTTATCTCCTTCATTTTTGTTTGAATTAGAAAAGTACTTTAACGGTCAAACTCATTAGTCCAAGGCAATATTAAAAAGTACCTAATAAGTACGGCGATAGAGTTTAATTATTATACATGTGCTTCGATATTAAAATTAAAAAGTAAGGCCACGAAACCAAACTAGCATATATGATGACAAACTTAAATTTGATGTTGATTTTATCTACCTAATATCTGTCATACGCGACGAACACTTTTAGTAAATTTTGAAAAATGGTTTGAAAGAAATTCAGAATTCAAAATACATTGGCGACGAGGATAAAACCGTGAGTACGGAAATAAATTGTATTTGAAAAAAAAAGGAAAGAGAAGACCAGTGTGTAAAAAAATTATTATGTCTTACCTTACAAAAAAAAATTAAAATAGAAGGTAATGGATTGCTAAAAATAGCAACAGTCTTCTCTGTTTACACATGATAGTTTTTTGTAAAACGTGGCCTTAAGTTGTTCCTAGCCGTGAATGTTTTAAAAAATGGTTCAGAATGTAAACTTAACCAATTGAATATCGAAATAAGATCACAATATTTGACTATCAGAGATACATACTCGTCCGTCTAAGTTGTTCACTACAAAGTACACTACGATGTCACATCGAGATACATGTGCAAGCGACAAATTAATTCCGGTCTATTGAAGAAGCAGGAAATTAATAATGAATAAGAAAAGAAAATATATAATTATTACAATGGTTGACAAAATGTGTGTAGATGGATAATAGCATTCGGCGATGTTAATCTCGGTCAAAGTTATGTCTATACATAACTTCAATAACATAGATACAGTCACCTCCAATAAAGTGTAAGGACTTTGGCTGCAACATCGGCGGTTGTAACATGTCGGTATAAAGCGACGAATGGCAATCACTAGGTCAGTCGATGTGAGACCTTTGCGGTGTCAAGTCGTGTCGGAACGTGATCGATCGTGAAGAAGAAGAAGAAGAAGAAGAAGAAGAAGAAGAAGAAGAAGAAGAAGAAGAAGAAGAAGAAGAAGAAGAAGAAGAAGAAGAAGAAGAAGAAGAAGAAGAAGAAGAAGAAGAAGAAGAAGAAGGCCACGTTCCGTACTATTTTGGGAACTTATTGCGAAGTTTCGTTTGGCTAAGCCAAATAAAAGTTCATAGTCTTTGCATACCCCTATATGTAACGAATCGAAAGTTAAAGTTAAGATTTTCATCCTAAAAAATGTATCCCTTACTTCAGTGGTTTCATGCAAAGTGTTAAATGAATTTAACAGAAGTACTTTATTCCAAATTGTATCACAAGTATATAGGAGATAGAGTTCAATTTTGTCAAATATTACGATATTTTTGCACACCTTGACTGCTTCGTTACTTATGACGCTGTGGCTGCTACGATATTTATGGGCACCTTGCATGTACTCATATGTTTGACGCTGTGTATGTACCGACGTATTTGAGCAGGGTGAATGTATCTATTAATTTGAGGACTTTTGTTGTACCGATATAATCGATTACTTTTGGTATATTTGCATATCTTGTCTGTTACGATCTATATGACGCTGACTGTACGCCAAATTTCATTGAGATCTTTTCAGGCGTTCTGGAGATTCGTTCAAACAAACATCCATCCATCTAAACATTCGCATTTATAATATTAGTAAGAAGTAAGATTATAAAGAAATATTTGTATTTCTATACATAATGAATATATTCAAAAAGTACTAAGCTGATTTCAACGTTTTTGTTAAAAGGCTTTTTACTACTTAATAAAAAGGACTTCAATGGCAAGTATATCAGACAAATATATTTTTACAATCTTACTAATATTATAAATGCAAAAGTTTAGATGGATGTATCTCCAGAATGGCTGAATGGATTTCGCTGAAATTTGTCATAAATGTAGAACAGTCTAGAAGAACACATGGGCTACTAATATATTTTGTTTTGTTCCGCACGGACAGAGTCCAGTCTAGTATTTCATAAAAAGCACAACAAACAACATTTCGGAATAAAAAATAAGTTTCAAATATTAATTTTGGTGATGATAGGAATGACAGATTTGTTGCAGAAAAAGTTTTAAGTGAATAAAAAAATTGTTAAGAAAAGATGAATTAACATACCACATCAAGTTTAGCTTCTAATTCTTTGAATGTCTGATCTTTTGTATTTAGTTCATCCACATGCTGTTTAACTCTCTCCCTCAACACTACATTCTCTTTACGCTGTTCCGATAGCATTCTTTCCAAAGATTCAATTTGCAACTTTAATACATCTTTCTTCATATCATCACATTCTCCGTTTACATCATTTGGCTCTGGATTTGATTTGATCTCTTCCGTGATTATTTTATCGGAATTTGGTATTTGATTGTCAATTGTATTTTCAAATATATCGTTCATAACTTTACCATTTAATATTGGTTTTAAATTCTTAACTGGAACTTTTTGGGAAGATACTCTTTGTGTGTATGCATTCTTTATGTTGCCACTAACAGACCAAAAGATTCCGTGGACATTTTTAACAATACTACCCAAATCTTGGGATAAAATTTCCTTTGGTAGACGACTATGTTTTCCGTCTTGGTGATTATCAGGTATTATCTTTTGAGTGGCACTTATTTTAGATTTTTGATTAGTAAATTCGGATAAAATTTCATCTGTATTTATAGTGTTTGTGCTAGAATTTAGACTATTAGTCTGTGGTTCATCTAAATTAGTAATGTTTTCTGCACTTTTACTATAAGGTGATTTACATATAATACTATTTTCCTGGTTTTTGATAGGCTCATTTAAGCTAACAGTTGATGTTGTGAAATTTCTATTGACATTATCTAAATCTGATTGCATATACATGGAAACTTCTAATTGTTCATTTTCTGGAATGTGTAAAGTATCTATATCTGAATTAATGCTAGATTTTTCATCATCTCTTGCAAAATCATTTTTATTTCTTGTGAGAACATTGTCGGTGGTTTCATTAATTAACGAATCATCTGAATTCATGTTTTCAATTGGTTCGATGGGAGATATAGAGGCTGGAGTGAAGGAACTTTCATTTTCGATAGAATCCTCATTTTTACTTATTTCATCTTCAGATACGGGTTTATCTGAAACTTTAAGCGGAGACACTTCAGAATCTGAAGACGCATTTGCCGTAGCGGAACTCAGTTCTCCAGTATCGACACCCGAATCGCTGTTTTGATCGCTTTTTGTAACGCACTCTTTTTCTAATCCGTCGACGTAGACACTATCGATATGTACAGAATTTTGGTCGTTTTCTTTGGACATTGCTGTCATTTACATGAATTATGTTTCTTAAAAAATAGATTTTTTTGTGGTTTTCAAAAAAGCCATTAGAATATAATTTACTAATTTTATATTTTTTATGCAATAAAAATAAACATACGCTTTTGACGTTTCTCACGAATCTCAAGATCGTTACGTTCCTTTCTTTACTTTTGTTGATAAAGTTTTGAGGTGAAAATTTTAACATTATCATAAACAATAATTAAAAAAAATTGCTGAAACGTTCATTTATATGTAAAAGCGTAATGATTTTCTAAGATTAATTTATAAAAAGTCAATCCCATAAACAATGAATTCTGCTAGCAACACTGTTGGTAATTCCTGGCAACATGAACGCATACGTCACTTCAATTTTGTAAAAGAGGGAATCAGAAGCCCAGGGAAAAGTAGGTCGTCAGTATTGATTTTTACCTGATATTCGACAAACAAAGACCTAACTTGCGTAGTGGGGAGCAGAATATACGTCGCAGTGTTTCCGTGGAAGTTGAACGTGCAAGATGCCTGTAAGTGTTTGTTCCTTCATCTTATCGCATGGTTTCCGGAAATCATGCATGATTTCATAACCCATCATTCTCTTTTTGTGCAAACTCATTTGCGTTCTCGTTAGGAATTTGAAAATATACAAGATTCCAATAGGAAATTGTATTTTCAATTGGCCATTTGCTATTTGAGATTAATATCGAATTAATAAGCACACGTTGAAAATTTTTTCACTTGTGTGAGTCATAATCCGTGTCAGGGTCATTCGACGAATACTGCGACATGCTCCGTTGTAACTACGCATTTGAGTCTGCGACATCGAAGCGTCACTATCTGTTTGAATTTTTTGTTCCAAGGATGCAGAGTCGGTGGGGTCCACCGTTGAAAATGTTCGTGTGGTGGTGCGGGTGCGGCCAATGGACCAGCGGGAGAAGATGGAAGGCTCCTACAACTGCGTATCGGTTGACTCCGTGAACAACACCATCGCTGTGACCAGGAGCAACGCCTCACCGCCCGAGCCGCCAAGAATCTACGCTTACGATGCAGTTTTCGACAGTGACACCAGCCAGGTACTTTTTAGTTCTCATTTTTAATATCTACTTCTTTCGTTTTTATAATTGTTCTTTTTGTCTTTGTTCTGCTATAACTTTTATTTCCATACTTAAATGTTTATTTCGAAATAAAACTATTATTTAGTTCAAACAATGGATTGTATTGAAAAAAAATAATTACATTGTTTTTTTTAAACAAATGATAGGATAAAGAAATAACTCCTTGAAGAACTTTCAGCCAACACTTGACTAATACAGAATATTTTATCCTTGTTTACTCAGACAATGCAAATTACAGTTGCAATATATACAATGTTCTTTCCTTGGATAAAGATCTAAGTGGCCGCCATTCGGTCACAAGAAATAAATTTGCATTTTTATGTACTAAAAAATTTCCATTTAACAGCAATTTAAATTGCATTATACCTCTCATCATACAATATTTTTATATGCAATAATAAAATCAATACAAGATAATGTGGGTATTAAAGAAAAAAGCCATCTTAAGAAAACTTAAAAAGATACAGAAGTATACAAAATTACAATTGTCTGACTACAATAAGACATTTGTATCCACACAACGGGTCTGTCTATTTCCCTTATGAATAAATTTGAACAGCTTTTTATCCTTTGTTACAAGTTTTTGTATAAAATAACGAGACTATCAGAGAAAACCTGTATTCCAATATAATATAGCTTTGAATCTCTAAAGACCATTTTACCCCATTAAAGGGTATGCCAGACTCCAAAGAAATAAATTGGGGAAATCTTACAACAATAAATACTTTTTACCATTGTTCTTTATTTAAAAATTAAAAAAAAACAGTTCTTTATGGGGTCTGGCTCTATGATGCATGCTATTCAATGTTGTAATAAGGTATTGCCAACATTTCCTGAAGAATATGAAGAAAGAAGAAATTTTATGCGCTATTCCCTTCCGCCTTTCGTCTCGACTAACGCTGTTTTAGTAAGCATCAGTCTTGTCGAATGGTGGGTGGGCGTAGTGTACTAACATCAGAGAAGACGGCGAAACAGAAGGCGTTTTATTTTATTTCGTCGTTTATAATCTATTTCTTTATCTTAAAAGTACGATCTTATCTAGTTTATCGAAAGGATTTAATTATCTATGGTACAATTTAAAATGTCCATGCGCGGAAATATCGATTTTTAGCCCGCCATTACGTTTCGGGCGTGGTTAGCAGCTTAACTGAAAACAATATGGCGACCGTTATGAAATGGCGGGAATGTATTTGCGCAAGTCTTTCAGTCATCATTGAATTGAATGTTAAATATTATTTTTACTTTTCAAATATTTTTCTTTTACGAGTAATATTAATATTATATAAGCGTTTAGAGAATTTAAACAAATCTTATGTTTTTGCGATTAGAAATTTTCTATAAATAGTTAAGTTTAGAAATATATATTGTTAATATTTTAGTACGATATTATAATGTTTGTAATTTACTACCGAACTCTGAATCTTTGGGTACTTAAATAGTTACTTAGGGTAGATTTTCATCCAAAATCTACACTTAATGATAGCGTGCGTTACTAACCGGTGGTTTCTGAGATCTTTGCAATCATATCGCCATCTCTCATCTTTGACAGTACAGAGATAACAATATGTTTTATGGATTTGGATCTCGGAAATCCACGGTAAGAAATGTTGACGGTGGTAAAGTTTAGTATTGATTATTGACATAACGTTCCTAATGCATCTCGCCGTACGTTGAGGTCCTCCGGGATCTCGGGTTCGCTGATGCAGGGCATTAAGAGGCTGACCGCTTAATGCATCGGGAATGTTGTGCTCTAAACCGACGCCGAAGATCGCAGAAGATGAAGAAACCATAGACAATATTTTTTTATCATGCAACACTGGCTGTATTTGTCGTTAAAAAAACAACTGTCACTTTTTTCTTTAAATAAGTTCGCGTGTTGCAATAACAATGTTTGTTATATATTACAAGATTATTGTATATTGTTTCTTATGTAAAAAAATTGTTATATATGTTTTATTTGAAATTATAAGTATATATCACAATATTGTCTTTTATTCTATGGGAATTAGTACAGACCCGTTGTAAAAAATATCAATGAATGCAAGAATGCTTTGCGATTTAACACAATCTTACAATAATCTAGCCAGCTGTTTGCACAACATAAATATATAAATCTATACATATTTAATCCAGATCACAAAAGCAAGGAGAAAAAAGACCTTTTATTCCAACTTACTAATAAATACGAATGTTTAAATGGATGTTTGTTAGAAAGTATCTTCAAAACAGTATAGATCTCGATAATATTTCGCATACATGTGGAACATAGTCTGGAAGAACACATAGGCTACTGAGTTTTTATTTTAAATGGCAACTTTGTCCAATTAGTTTCGTAAAATCTGAGAAAGCAAAGTATTTAAAAAATCACTACAACTACGTCCATTCAATTACAAACTAGAAAGAGTAAAGAAATAAAAAATGGCGGAGCATTACGCCGTGTTAAAATGCAGACTTAAGAAAAAAATCGATTATTAAATGCAAATTCATTATTAAATTTAAATAAAAAATATCAGAAATATATTATAATCTTCTTACTAATATTATAAATGTTGTTTGGATGGATGTATGTTAGAAGATATCTTCAGAATGCCTGGATGGATCCCGTTGAAATTTATATCATGGCGTAGATGTAGAACATACTCTGGAATAATACATAGACTTTCTCGCGAACGGAGTTGCGGGCGACAGCTAGTTTTATATATCCGAGCAAATACATCCTCTTCGTAATAAAAAATACTACTCGATGTACGTTAAAATTGCAATCGCGTCTGGCCCCGTGACCGCGATAACCTCCAAAAAGGCATTTCCCATGAATTTAGATATATGACTGAAAGTTGCCGTATTAACGGAAAAAACAGTTTTAATATTATCGCGAGTTAAAAACTGCACAAATAACCTAAGCAAATCACTAGTATTAATATATTGATAACGTCAAGGGAAAACTCCGTAAACTTTAAAAAAAAATTGTGAGAACTGAAAACGTGAGATTTGAAACAGTTATGCGAATAGATGGATGGATGTTTGAAGGTATCTCCAGAACGGCTGAATCAATCTCGCTGAAAATTGGCATAGATGTAGAACATAGTCTGGAAGAACACATAGGCTAGTAATTAAGTTTTAGACGGAGTCCCGGGCGACAGCTAGTCGGAAATAAATTATGGCCGGATTTCAACCAATGGGCAAACTTGATAGTATAAATATAAGACAGATTGAATTAATTTAAATAAAATTGCTTAGAAGAGAGATCTTTTTTCTCGCTCTTGGAATCTTGTGTCTCGCTCTTGTAACGAAATGATGTTAAAATTCACTCGATTATCACCCAATTATCGAGTCGCGATTGTAATAATGTTGGCTGTGATTTCATACAAACCTTGGCTTCCCCTATTTAGTCTATAGGGTTGCCACATTTTAAAAATAGATTTGAATTTCAAACACTAGTTGCGACTGACAAATCAAATGAGAAAAAGTGGCAGCCCTACGTGTCTATGAGCCAAAATAAGCTCTTGGCCTCCAAACAGATAGCACATATAGATCAACTATGCAACCTCTAAAATACCCATACAAATGACGTCAGCGGCGCGGCCGTCCAAGACTTGCGCTAGTTACGGAAACTCATTTCTAACTATACTTTTTTATTATTAGCAGGGCAAAGGCATTTCTATCTTTCGTCCAAAAAAACTATTAGTCAAAGTATATCACATGCATAAAGTTTGGATGTATGGATGTTTCTTACCACTTAATTAGAACGGCTTAATGGATCTGGATGAGCTGGTATAACGCTTAGGTTATTTTTTTATGCTACATGGACGAAGTTGCGGGCAACAACTAGTCGATGTAAAAATTATATTAAAAAAAAGTTATAGCGTAGTACTAATGTAGGAAGTTATTTTATGCTACAGATGTACCGATTACGTCATCAAAGACGACGCAAATGTTATAGTGCCCTGCGCTTGAGTTGGCACGTCGAGAGAAAGAGTACTCTTGTTTCTGACGTGCCAAATCAAATACATACTATACCGAAGACTTTTTTAATATATTTTACTAAACGACTGGATCACAACTCTAATTATTTATAAGTATGATAATTAACTTTCAGCGATATAGTACCTGATTCATTTAATTATTACTTTATTCATGCTATTTAAACCAATTTATAGCATCCTGTAGTACCATCTACTTTTTATTTATCCCGCCAAATATTTTCCAGCCAGGATTATTTTGGAATAATGTTTTTTTTTTATTTTTAAGAATTTGTTTGCCCATTCAGACTTTTTAGTGAAACCTTCACGGTGTTTAAATTTGTTAGAGTACTATGCGCCACGATTTTCCATTAGCCTCGATTCAAAATGGCCGCCGTAGTTGGAGAGCAACCGGGCGGCTGAAAATTTTCGTCGTATCGTTTCGTAAGCGTGCCAAGGCCGGACTCGGCTTGTCGTAATTATTGTTTCCAAATGGCTCTCTCGACGCCAAATCTCCCGGAGTGAAAAAAAACATTAATAATTTTTTTTTGTCTAAAAAAACGGTACAAAAATTTTGTACTTCAAAAGATTATTATTGCAAAGTGTAGGGCGCGTATAGCCCCTAGTTATTCCATTTAATTGCCACACTTAAATTAATTGGTTGGTGCCACTTAATGGATATTTAAGGGAGCGTTTAATTCTCTGAGTACTTGCGTAATACTGGTAACTACTATGGAATATTTTATATCCTTCGAACGTTAACAAAGGGATTTATGGAAGCTTTACCCGGGACTGCAGTGTCCTATTTCTAGCTGCGGATCTGTCCTACATACAGTTTATACCAAATATATTTGTGTAGAAGGCAAATTGAGGTCGCTGGGCAGGGCTGTAACCTAGTTAGGTTAAATAGGTCGATCGATGGACCCCGGGGAGTCTTGCAGTAGTCTGGTTATGCACAAGCGCACTCGGACCCCGCCCTAACTCGCTATAACATGATAA